GTTTATAGTCCTTATCCGAGAAGACTTGTTCTACCACCAGAACCATAGGCGAGCGTGCCGTTCGAACCAGCGCCGATATTATGGCTATAGCTTGCGGCGCCCCTGCTAACCGCTCGGCCATTCGCCTCGCCAGTACAGTTCCTGGGGAATTTGTCGTGCAGGTCAGACAGAGATTTGCAACGTCGTGTACTAGCTAAACCGCGTGTACAAGCACAAATTGTGTACAAAATTTATTGCCATGTTTACTATGAATTAAGATGCTTGAGCAGATATGGGACACTGTTGTTACGTCATTTCCACCCAGAGTGTTCAATAAACCTTATGTCTGCCGAATTTACTGCATACGAATTGGAAAATTTAGCTTCATCTAAGTCCTGTGAAAATTGGATTAAATCCTGGCGAAATCCATGAGAAACTCTAATTTCTGGACAAAATGTGGAGTTTCCCAGAGACCGGGAGATTGACCAAAATTCCCGGAGACTCCTGGGCGATCTCGGAGACCTGAGAACTATGCTTAATAATAATAATATTCGGATTCTTTATTGCATTAAAAAACTTGTACCGGTACTGATAAATATGACACAAATAGCTCTACATTTTTTTTTAGATATGAGGTACCACAGTTTTGCAACGTTCTTATTATTTATGGTATGCATATACTACAGATGACCATGGTCATGTATAACATGTATAGGCCTAACCACAGATGGCCATGTTCATGTACAAATTATTTACAAATACTTTGCTCTCTCACTTAAGCACATTTATTCCAAGTTCATCTATTCACAACTATTCAACAAGATTTTCTGTTAATAATTTTTAAAGCCGGGCACTCTAAATTAATGTTTGGATATCTTGGGTCTGCTGACGTACACTACAGCCATGTAAATCAAGCCGGATGCAGTTAAAATTTTTTCCAGTTCACTAATATGACATAAAGCACATTATGATTAATGCAACCTTCAGTATAGCTTGTACTGTAGGCTATCCAAATTACTTCCATCTATCCATTCATTGTCATATTTATGAATAAATTTAATAATAATAAAATTATTGCTACATTTTTAATGATTAGATGCTAATCATGAACAAACCAGACTTTTTCGGTTTTACTGCCTTTTTCTCTGATTAAGAAACAGTTCGCACTTCAATTTGAGATTACATTTAGGACCTAAAAATGTGGGGTTTGGTCTCCACTTACAGGGCTAGCTTAGTGTTAATAGACGGAAGATTGTTATTTGGTTCTTTGGAACAATGTAGAGGAGGATAAGGAGTCTCAGAGTTTTAGTGATCTCAATTAGAGAATGAGTGCATTGTACGATAATAATAAATAAAAATCAGTTAAGAATAATTAAAACTTTGCTTACGATTGCTGAAGTATAAGACTTTTCTTGTAGTCGTTTCAGTGTTCAACCTTTTTGCCTTTCAGATATTTCTTGTGGACATTTAGTAAGCGCACACACTAATGTAGCATTTTAAAGCCCTGAATTTTTAAATGCAAGGACTTTTAATACCATTTAAAAACTATTCATTAATAAGTCATTTGTGTTTGAATATGTCACACATTTTACAGTATCCATCCATACAATTAGTTATAGTGACACTTAAGGAAATTTCACCTTGAAATTAATAAGCTGGTAGTAATCAAATTTTATCAATTATTAATCCTTTAATTAGCATATGAGGGTAATGAGGGTAGGCCTATATTAATAATAATATTAATACTTTTAATCCATTAATTAGCATAATAAGGGTAGGTCTGAATTTATTTTATCAATATTATTAATCCTTTAATTAGCATTATAAGGGTAGGTCTATATTAATTTTAATAATATTATTAATCCATAATTAGCATATGAGGGTAATACGGGGGGTAGGTCTATATTTATTATTATTCCCCTAATTAGCATAATGATGGTAGGCCTATATTAGTAATTACCGTATAATAATTGAGGATAGGTCTATATTAATTTTTTCTTATCAATATTATTAATCCCGTAATTAGCATAATGAGGGTAGGCGTATGTTAATAATAATACTCCTTTCTAATTAGTTCTGAAAAGAACTGTTGAGATTGTCATGATGTTAAATAATAATAATAATAAAACTAATAATAATAATAATTATAATATAAAACTTACTTTGAGTGATCTCATCCTGTTTTCACAAATAGTATATAGTAATGTAAATTCCTATTCAAATGTAATGTAAATTCCTATTCCAAAAGGCGATTTTTTTTTCTACACAATTTCCTATAGTAGTGCATTAACAGAAGCGGGATTTTCAAAAAGATGGCTCCAAACACGTTGAGGCCTGACCATGGCATGACGAATAATGAAAATCCGATAGATTTGAGAGTACATGACAGATCAAACAACTTCATACAATTTTGCTCAAAGTGGGAAGCGTTATAGCATTAATCGACCATACCAAAACGAAATTTAAGAAATTAGTTGAAGAATATTTGCTAAGCTAACACTGAATTCACGAAGTTGTAAATTAATGTAGATTCTATGATGATATGTATATTATTTGTTTGATAGAAACAAAATAAATGAAAAGATATTTGCTTCTAAAACAAAATTGTATGACTATTTGATATTAATTTATTTGATAAACTTTTAAATGCCTAGAGCTCTTAAATATACAATGTATTACTATTATTATTATTATTATTATTATTATTATTATTATTATTATTATTATTATTATGTAACAGCGATAGATGAGCAATGGGAATTGGATTTCGTGGATTTAACAACACTACAACGCTACAGTAAACAATATAGATTTCTCATTACATGTACCGATGTATTATCGAAATATGCGTGGGCTATCCTTATTAAGAACAAATCTTCCGATACAATGTTGGATGCTATGAAGAAACTTTTATCAGGCAAAAGGAAGCCTTTAAAATTTCATACAGATAGAGGTTCAGAATTTATAAACAAAAAGGTTCAAGCATATCTTAAATCACAAGACATACATTTCTTTATGAAAACAATGAAACAAAGGCTAATGTTGTTGAAAGAGATTCAATATAACATTAAAAACGAGGATGTAGAGATATTTCACGTCTAAAGTTACCAATAAATATATCGATGCGCTTCCCAATGATGTAATTTCTATTATTTGAAGAGCGTTTGCTAAGCTAAAAACTCTTAATTTATGAATTTGTAAATTAATGTAAATTTTATGACGATATGTATATTATTAGTTTGCTACAAACAAAAATAAATGAAAATCTATTCTTGCGTATTGCTGAAATCAAATTGTATGCCTCTCACTCATTATTTAAATTTATATTGTATGCTGGTAGTGGAGCAGATACAAAACAACAACAGCAAGAAAAAACTGATTATAGATATACTACGACCCGAAAATTTTGATAATTTCAGAGGGGTAAAATCATAATTTAAACTGGTTACAATGGTGAAGACGACCATGATGACGTTGGTGATGAGGATGATGATGATACTGTTGATGGTGATAATGTTTAGAAGATAATAAACAATATTGATGGATTATGCAAAGTATCAGTGGTGATGATGAGGATGCTGCTGTTGGTGATGATAATAATAACAAAAATGATAACTACGATGGATATTGATAATAGTGACTATGATATTGATGATGGTGATCAAAGTGAGGATGATGGTATATGTTATTAGGATGCTACAAATGTTGTTGATAGTAGTTATGGTAGTGATTATGATTATTTTGGCAACCGTAGTGATGGTATTGATGTTGGTGAAGACAACTATGAGCTGAATGTCGATGATAGTGACTACGGTATGGTAGTGATGATGAAAATCAAAGTGAGGATGATGGTGGAGGTGATTATGATGCTACAAAGGGTGATGATATTGACTATGTTGTGATTATGATTATATTGACAGACATACTGATGGTGATGATGTTGGCGAAGTTGACGACAATGATGATGATAATGATGATGATGATGATGGCGATGATGGGTGCAAAAATTAAAAGCGAGTTATTATACCGCAAAAATAGAAATTGTATTCATAGGCCTAATACCTATTTTTACATTTTAAAATATATAGTAAGGTCTATGATATCCTCGGATACAATCAAAACAGAAAGAATATAACAAAAATAATCCAAACAAATAATAATTAGAAAAAATACCTCAAAATACTTTAAAGAAATATATTCAAAATACTCTCAGCATAGAAAAATAAAAATTGTCCATATCATAGAGTTGGTAAACAATGCTATGATAAATATAGTTCCATAGCCGATTATTTTGTTACTTTTAAAGGACGTATTCATTTGAAATGCGGAAATAAGGAATTGTAAAACTGTAAAATATAAACCTAGTGAAATTCTAATCACTGAATTAATAAATATCACATTGATTCCTGCAAACGCAAGATATTAAGGAACAGTAGAACTAAACATAGAATATACTGTAAAACAAACTCATTGAAAAGATAAAAATAAAATATTTCTCTTATATTTATAAATTGCATGTTAATAAAAAGTTTAAAGAGACTTATTTACAAAAGAGATGAAAAGATTAATCTAAATTGCAGAACACATTGAAGTTTATTAAAATACATCGAAAATATTAAAATTACAAATTAATATTGGAATAATGTATAACACTTATAAGCCATTCGTTTAAAGAAAATATAATTTTAAACTTCTGAATGTTAAAAAGGTAAAGGTTTATGTAAAGTAAATTAATATTATGTAAGAAAAATAAAATTCGTGTCAAGAAAATAAATTTCGTGTCCAGAAAATAAATTTTTAAGTGTCACTATAGCTAATCATACATACACATCAAACTTGTTTTTCAAGAATAAAACCTGCCTCGACTCTCAGCAAAATTTTCGAAATACTAAATTTAAAAGGCTTATGGTTCTGTTTTTTAATACTGTTAGAAAAATGCTAATAATAGATTAAGATACAGAGGAATGTTACTGCTTTAGGGTAAAAGATGAGAATAAAGTTAATTTGTATACTATAGATGATTTTGTACCATTACACTAGTCCCTATTCACACCTACCTACATATTCAGTGACTGCTTGATTTCAGCGTATGGCTGTTTCTTACTATTAATCCTACCGGTTCCTATTGAGAAATAACTACTGTACCTGTTACTACCTATGTAAAGTAACTCTGCCAGATATCAGCCACTGGCTATTTTCTTTAATAACTTCAGTTTTTGTTTTTATTTACTTTGGGCTGTGGATAGCCAAAGCATGGGACCACCATGGACATGTTGGTATCTATTTCATTGGTTTACATTTTATATTTTAAAAATTATATTGGTAGGTTTATCATCGTCAGTTGTGAATTGAGTAAATGCTGCTGATTGATGGAAATACAATTTATTGTTAATTTCTGATAAAATCACAACTCAGCTAAGCAATATGACATCAAAGTCAATATATTTGACCTACCGTATTATTATGAGGATACACACAACTAAAGTGACCTGCCAGGTCAAAGGTCAAAAATGTAGTCTAGGTACCTTAAAAAATTTGACCCAAAAGTGAGTAAAACTAATTATATATGAATAATTTGAGACCAAAACCACGTTTTTAGTCAGTAGACATGAGAATAGGGAAAACTTGTAAATAGGGTCAAAGGTCAAATATGGAATTTCCGGTCATTTTTGAAGCAAATCTCACATTTAAACAAATAGAAATATGCATGGTCCGAACAATTTTAAAAAGAAAGCAACTCGCTACGACCAGCGGTTCTCAGCACATGGGAAGCCTATTTTTTCACTTCTAATTTGCATATTCAAGCTAATTTGCATATGAACGGAAAATGTGACTGAAACGTAAATTTATGAATTTAATCACCTTGTCACGTGTGCTCATTTAGAACAAAAACCGCTTCATTTGCTATTTTCTTATACCGTCTAGCTTAATTTCAAAATACCCCCTACCCTATAAAAAGGGGCGTGGTCATTTTCGGGCTGTTCGTCCCGGATAGAGATTTTGGCACACGTCCTATGTTATTCCTAGGGTTCATATTAGTCTATTACAGTTGAGAAATTCTCTCCTAAATGAAGTGCATACAAATCTTAGTCAGGTCGTCTACTATAGATCAAATACGTTTTTGTGCATTTTGTGGGGAAATAGAGAGGAATGAGTACACCAGGCGTGTCAATACCCACCTCGGCCCCACCATGGCTGGTGATGCGAAAAAATATTAATGATGGAGCAGCTTTAAATGCTGGAAATAGAATTTTCAGACTTAATATATTACATGGTTGAGGCTGGGTGTGGGATGTACAAATTCAGGGGTGTAGCCTGATATAATATTGTTAGACTGTTTATGAGTCTTAATTTGACTTTTTGACTTCGTTAACTTTAAAATAGATCAAATTATTTTGTTTCCAAGGTCTCACAAATAATAATAATAATAATAATAATAATAATAATAATAATAATAATAATAATAATAATATGAATAATAATAATAATAATAATGTTCGTAAAATGTTTGTCGCTGGTGCCGGAACAGTCACAAAAGCGGGGAGTGGGGCGGAGTAGAAAAAGTGGGAGGGGATGGCCCCGCTTCCGCCGCCGTTGGGTTTCTCTAGATACAGCAGATATTCATGAAAATAAATACCATGTACTCGACTATAGGCCTACACGATAACTCCTAGAAGTAAAACGGACAACGTTCCATTCCGGTTTTCCTAGTCTAGGTTTTGGGGCTAGAATAATGATCAATTTTAAAATTGAATCTAGTCGATGTTGTATTATGCACAGGGCAGGCCTATATAAATCTAAAGAAGTAATTTAATATTGTTCATTTGTTATTTTTCCATACTCAAGTAGGCCTATCACTTGTTTTTGCTCCGGGGCCGATGCGAACAGTGAATTTTGGAAAATAAACGATTTTTTATAATATTTTTCTAATGTAGCAGTAGTAGTAGTCGTCGTAGTCAGCAATACCGGTAATGTGCATTAGGTAGTTTTCGGCGGACGAAGTTAACGTTAAAGTCGTCCGCCGAAATTAACGTTAAAGTCGTCTGCCGAAAACTGCCTATATTGATGTAGGCCCGGTCGTGTGCTTCATGATTTTGCAGGCATCCTGACGCGTAACAACGGAGACGGCGCGATAGAGACAGAATATTATAATTATTCTGAACATTGCGCGCTAAAGTTGCGGATATTTAAAACTTAAATCAAAGCTGAAATTCACATTTTCTCATGCAGAGAGATTATTATATCCAGTTGGTTGAACCATCTACTCGTATTCGCGACGGCGCACTTCATAAATTGGTTTGAAATTATGAAATGATTATTTCCTCCTCCCGCAATTACAGTGGTGCGGCTGCTCTGTGACACTAAAATAATACATTACAAGGTCATGTTATTGTTCGTATATGCTGCATCGCAGATAGAGATGATGTCTTTTTTAGATACACCAGTTACCGTAATGCGTTTTAAGTCGGTTTTTGTCAAAGAGGACCATGCTTAATAGGTAAGTACTAACCAGCTTTAATTCAAGTTATGTATTCATCAATTTCAGCAGACGATAGGAAGATTCATGCATGATGTAGGCTAGTGTTTGTTATGAATATTATCCATATGAGTGAGATCAGCTGTTTGGTGTATAGCACACTAAGCGGCAAGCCGCTTTCACGTCCATGAACCAACCTTTAAAAGGTCAGGGTGTTATTCTATGCTGGTCTATAACTATTATTTTCCATGCTTTCAATA